TTCTTTGTCCTCTGTCTTCAGGGTTTTCAGCATTTGCTTCAGTTGCTAAATGAAGACTGGGCCAAGGCAGGGTGTGCTTTACCTGCCAAAGAAAAGAGTTGTGTAATACATGAAGGAAGTTGGTTGTTATGGCTGAAGCTACCTGGCCAGATTGACCGAGCAAAATGTAGTGTCATATTTGTGGAGTCCCTGGAGTTCTCTGAGCTTGGCTGTTTTCTTGCAAATGTTTCATTACCCGGCTGGGTAATGCTCTGTGTACTTCTCTGAGATCAAGTCCTCTGCTGCTCCCTTACTGTCCAACATATAAAGAATTTCCATGAAATGAACTGTTTAGATGCTCAAATTTCCACAGAAGGCTTGACAGTATTGATTTCTTCAAAGATTAAGATGCTTTCTTGCCTGCCTGCTAGGGCCCTCTACTTGATAAACAGTGTAAAGCAACAGTGCAGTGTTTCATTTACAACAGAAGAAACAAAGCATTGTTTTAATGAAGCAGGGTAGTGTTAAAATCTGTGCCAGTAGTGATGGTCATCAGCCTTTCTTCCTTCCTCCTGGCAGATTGGTGGTTTCATGTGTCCACGTCCAGTAAAACTGGAGGACAAAGTAGTTGTTTCCTGCCAATGAGCTGATCACCCAGCACACAGAACTGGCTGTCTAGAAAACAGGAAGGGACTTTTCTCTTGAGTAATCTGATCAGTTCATTGGGGTCTTGTAAGTAATGATAGCAGGAAACAAGCAATTTGTTTTCTGACGACCACCTCGTGGCACGGCCAGAAGGAAAAGAGGGTAAGACTCCGGTGGCTTTGGTGGTCATGCTTTTTGTGACTAAAGACACGTGGTTTGTCCATTCCTGGTATTGTCCTATATCTTCATTCACTTTAGATTCAAGCTTTGAGGATCCCAAAAGTAAATGGTAGTTTCTTCTAAGCTGAGCAGAACTTTACATTTTAACAAGCAATTGATTATTGTTAGATGGTAAACTCCTCATACATATTTTTATTTTATTTTATTTTAGATATTTGAAAGCACAACCCCATCACCACCCAAATAAAACAACAACAGCAACAGCAACAACAAAAGAAATTAGGAAAGAGATTTACAAGCTATATAAAGTTGAATAAGAATTTTTGGAAAAAAAATAAATTAGTGCTACATATACAAATAATCTTATGTCCATTTGGCACTTCAGAACCATTATTAAAATGAAACCGATATTCAGTTAACAAAGCTAGCATAATAAACTATCAGCTGTCAGAATGAACAATTAACTATCTGATCTAAAAACAACAGAACTAAGATTCTAATCCCTTGTTAAGAGAAATTCAAACTTTGGTATAGGGTCATATGGAGAATTATCCATAAATGGTTTCCAGGTTAAATTCAATTCTGTATTAGACTTGTTTTCAAACACAAAGTTATTTTTGACATTGATACACACTCTCATAACTTAGTCTATCTAGAGATGAAATCATATATTTCTTTTAAATGAATTTTGGAAGATGCAAATATACATTCCATTCAAATAGTTTTGCTTTCTTTGCATTCTGAAACTGATCATGTTTTAATTCTGGTGATTATGTTATAGTTGTGAGTCTATATCGTAACTGCTGTTTAAATACTGTGTAGGATTTGAACCTTGATCCCATAAAAAAGCATTCTGTGTTTTTCTAACTGTAAAAAATAAAGTCTTAGAAAACAACAAGAAGTTCAACATGAGGAAACGAAATATAGTACAGAGGTATAATACTAATAAGAGCAAAATGTCAATACTGGACTTTTGCTGATTTCAAAGAGATTATAACATGAGTAGCCGATGGGCTTCTTTGGAGAGGGACTTCACATACGGGTTATCATCACAGAGTTTGGGAGCCGTCTGCCACTCCCGCTCACTGAGGACATCTGGACGTGTAGCCACAGAAGACGATCTTAGGATCGGTGGAACTGTTAATAAGAAAAACTAATTTTTCATGTAATTGGCTCCAAATCATGTAATTCCCCTAAAAAAAAAATAAAAAATCCCTAAAAAAGCACACCCTCTGTGGGTCATAGGTGGACAGGTCCAAAAACTTTAGCCTATTTTTTTCTATTTGGGAACATGTTAAGGGGCAACTATGCAGACGTCCTGTATAAGCACCCATTTCCCCCTTGATATTGGACCCCTTTAGAGTCACGGCCTCACCCACTTTTATAGTACGAACCTCAACATGCTGTGACAAGGCATGGAAGTTGTGCTTCTTTGCTCTGAACCTGCAGACAGACAGGAACCCACAGAATTTCAAGAAATAGCCAAATTTGATTGATTGATGATTGGCATTCTCTTTTACTGGGATTATTTCAGATGACTGGTGCCCTGCGTGCCCTCTTCGATGTGTTCCTTAATTTAAAATACATGTCCTTTTGCAAGGAGCGTGAAAGTTTGTGTAAGGGTTGAGCTAAGCCTCTCTGGATACGATTGAACTGATGAACAAGATTACACAGGGCTATACTGTTGCTTGTATTATTTATAGGTCGAATTCTAACTCCTGAAATATGAGAATTAACATCTCTGCCTTCAGGTACTTACAGCGTAAAATTCGATACAGGAGAAGCAACAGAGGGAAGGGGAAGGAATTAATGACATGGTAAACAACAGTGTCATATGAAATTGGTTCAGGTGACTAAGTTTATGGATCCCTACCTTACCTGCCTGCTTGCTCTCACACTTTGTTAGTCATGTGTGGGGCTGGCTAAAGAAAAAGAAAAGTCATTCTCTCCCAATCTATAAAAGATTATCTGGTTGCTTGGAAACAGGGTGAATGGTTAATTGCAAACTTATGTTTGTCACTTTATTTTTATTGTCTTCAGATCTAGTTATAGGTTCTTTGGGTGTTGAATGTTCTTTCCTGTAGGAAAGAATAACCCGGAAGATCAGAAAGCTGATCTTTAATTCTTCCAGCTTGAGATGAGAGACCAGGTGTTTGTTTACTTTAAGGCAATATTTTCCTTGGCCATAAAAATCATGAAAGGGCTTGAGTTCTTTATAAGTATCAGTAAAAATGCTGATTCTGGAATATTAAAACCAATTTTACTCTATTGTTCTCCTTCCCTCCATGTGTAGGACTTGAAAGTGTGTGGGACTTACTTGCACGCCTGCTGATTGTGGAAGACATTTCATTCTACGTAGGAGAAGAATTTTGTCCGGCTTCTGAATGAGTGCATATAGAATCATGCCACTTTGGCATTCTGATAGAAAAATCCACGAATGAAATTGCCATTATGTCATTCAGGGAGACTGACGCAGATATAAAAGCCTTTTTAGTCAGCATCAACTTGGGACAGTACCTCACAAACTTTAATGACTTTGGCTATAACACTTTGCAAGAGTGCGTGGGAATCGACGACAGTGTGCTTCAACACATTGGAATATCACCTACGGGGCACCGCAGACGAATTCTCAAGAACTTGGAGGCCACGTTTACAAAAATGCCAGAAACAGCTGCATCAAGTAAGAGCCACTATTCCAGGCAGCTTCTCAATCCAAACAAGAATGAAGCAACTGGCTGGCCATCTGATGAACAGACCAATACAGCTTGTGGCAATAACTGTGAAAAAAATCCAGAATACCCATCCCATGTCTCACTGGGAATCAGAAGTAGTACAGTTTTGGATTCGGACTCTGCCGACTCATTTTGTCCAGACTTGTTGACAGATCCTGCCATTGTTGCAGGAAATGCACTGAAAAATGTGATGTTTGAGAAGATATCTTGTATGGATAATTATCTTAAGCAAGGACAGCCAGAAGCTTTTGAGTTTCAGCTTAATGCCACACCCAAAGAAGGATCTCTGTCTTTTGCTTCCCCTCCCTCTGAGAAGAAAACGAGTGAGGAGGATCATCAGCTCTTATCAGGGTTGGAAAGTTTGCTTGGTGATTTGCAGGAGACACCGTTCTTTGAGTTCAAAGGTGAAATGGTGGACAATGATTTGTATGATACTTGTACCCAGAGTCCATCAAGAGTAGGCCCTAGACCAACACGATCTTTCATGCTTCGGCACCGTCCTGTTCCAGAAATACCAGATGTTTCCTCAGTGGCAGCTTCAAATAGGTAAACTTTAACTGTTGATAAATGTGAAATTGTATGCCGTATTTTTAAGTGTTTGATACATGTTACGTATGGTGCTTCGGGAAGACGTACAACCTTATCAAGCAGGTTGGGTCATATTCTGTGATCTGGTGAAGGTTGAACTGAAAGGTGGGTTGGGCTAAAAGGGAAGGTAGGTGGCCTATAAATAGAAAGGCAGAATAAACTGATAAATAAATTATGTATGGGAATGAATAAAAAGCAGTGTCCAGCTAGATGCTTCTAAGGAGATCACCTTAAGACCAGGATCTGATAGTCAGTCTGAAGAGGAGTAAGTCTTCTGAGGGATGTTACCAAGTTAATTACAATCCCTCAGGACACAACTTGGCATCAAAAGTTTCTGTTTCAAATAGTTAATAGTATTATTAAGAGCGTACAATGACAAAGAAAAACACAAATGGGCAAACAGTTTAGGTTTTAAAAGAAGGAGGATGAAGAAAGAAACACTGGAATAAATTAAATAATGGAAGAAATAAAAAGTTGTGTCCTCCTAGATATTTCCAAGGATTTCCGAGAATGAACATGACATTATTAGCAGTCAGAACAACATATAGACATTTGTAGCAGGGCTGTTGTGCTTTTCCTTAAATTAAAATAGACACACTCAGGCCATTTTGTAATTGAGGAGAAGATTTGGAATTAAGAAAAAAGGTGCAATGTATTGTCGAAGGCTTTCACGGCTGGCATGCGATGGCTGGTGTGGGTCTTCCGGGCTGTGTGGCCGTGTTCT